ATGTAAAGTTAAACTTTGAGCCATCGCAAAGAATTATGGAACTTATTTAACCATGCACAAAAAATATTACAATGTGCCACTACTTGTGAAGTTTGACATTTGTTGTCTAAACTTCTATTTTTCACAGCCTATCAAATTTTGTTCATATCATTTTTAGGCAACGTTATTTTCTGGAATATCTCGTAATATTTTTTTCAGAAAATTCTTCACAAATAATTGGATTATGGTTGTAGAATCCAGTGGCTTTTTGAATAAAAAAATTATAAATGTAATTATTTTTGTCTAAGAAGGTAATATTTGTAAGTTTTGGCATAATAACCACGAAATAATAATAATTTGACGAACTTGTTGTTTATTTTATGTATACTGGTTTTTATAGTTCTTATTAATAATTATTATTAAACAAATGTTTGTTATTTAATTTGGTTTCCCTTTGGGTTCTATTCGGTTTTTATAAAATAATAGGTTCACCGACAACAGCAAACACTGGTGATGCCGATATTGTCATAACTTTTATATAGGCAAACTTTTTTTCGCAAAAATTGGTACAAATGCATTTGAGGGGTTCCTAAATGTAGTGGTGTAGTCAGATTTTTTATAAAAAAATCGCTAACAAAATTTTGCAATTTTTTACTTCAAAAAAATTCGTAATAGGCCTAATAGTTTAGATTTAAATTTACCTAGAGAAAGTATCCGACGCTGCCTAAAAAAAAATTTCATAAAACCCTATAAACCTAAGTTTCTTCACACTCATGAACCAGGCGATAATAAGAAACGAATGGAGTTTTGTCTCTGGGCACAGGGACAATATCTCAATTACCGATATTTTTTTTTAAATATCTTATTCAGCGATTAGGCCACATTCACGACGAATGAAATTGTATCATCACAGAACTCGCGGTGTTGGGTTTCAGAAAATCCAGAGTGGATAACTAATTGCCGAAGACAACATAGTCGGAAAGTTTGGTGTGGGATACTTAACGAGAGAATCATTGGTCCGTTCTTCTTTGAAGGGAATATGAACGGCGAACAATTTCTACATTTCCTTCAGAACGAATTTTTTAATGCACTCGATAATCTTCCATTACAAGAAAAAGTAAATCTACATTTTCAGTTGGATGGATGTCCAATACACAATGCGAGACATGTCAGGGAGTGGCTTAATGAGAATTTCCCCAATCATTGGATAGGTCGAAACAGTCCATGAATTCATTGGCCACCCCGATCTCCGGACCTTACTCCACTTGATTTTTTTCTGTGGGGCTTTATTAAGTCCAAAGTTTATAAGACACGGCCAAATAACCGGGAAGCGTGTGAGTAGAATAACGCGCATCAATTACGAAATGTTGTAAAAAATATAAAAAAACGTTATAAAAAATGTATAGAATTAAACGGAGGATTAGTGGAAGCTACAAAAATTTAAATTTAAAGACGTGATTAGTGTAAATCAATTTGATAGACTCCTTTTTCATTTTTAAAAATGTAATTTTTTGATCAATACTTTTCTTTATCAATTGTTGTTTATAATAGAGTAATTGTTGTTTATTTTGTGTATACTGGTTTTTATGATTCTTATTAATAATTATTAAACCAGTGTTTGTTATTTAATTTTGTTTCCCTTTGGGTTCTATTCGGTTTTTATAAAAGAATAGGTTCACCGACAACGGCAAACACTGGTGATGCCCATATTGTCATAACTTTTTTAGGGGCAAACTTTTTTTCGCAAAAATTGGTACAAATGCATTTGACGGGGTTCCAAAATCCCGTGGTGTAGTCAGATTTTTTATAAAAAAATCGCTAACAAAATTTTACCATTTTTCACTTAAAAAAAAATTCGTAGTAGGCCTTGAAAATCAAAATTTCGTCTTCAAATTTTGCATTAAGATAGAACTTTTGGAGATCTATCTTAAAAAAAAAAAAACGGTTCAAATCGGTCCATAAACAACTTTTGTACGCTAGTGTTTCCATTCTTAATGGGTCACCCTGTATATGTAGGACATTTACATATTCGCTCACTATATTACATCTAATGTGAATTATATTTTTACCCTTAGTGAAATAATTCTGTTGATAATACTTCAGTGAACATTGAAAGCTACCCTCTAATTTGTAAGTACAGGCTGTCTAGAGAAGGCAGGGTTGCTATTTATTTAAAAAATATATATAAATATAAAATTAGCAATACTAGTAAAAATATTGGCCTTTGGATATCTGCGACTATTAATAATATTTTTGTATTTGATGTATATAAACTTTTTTTCTCTATTAGAGTAACAAATGAGTTATTGTACTTTCTCACACTAATGGGATACCACACACTCTTGTAAACTTTTTTATTGTAGATTTTTCGAGAAAAAGTTATTCTTGATAAAAAGTTTTACTTATCTTGAGACGCCATGGGCAGTAATCAAATATGTAATAAAACATACAGGGCATCCAAACAATTTCAAAATATGGAAGTTTCTCTAAGCAAAGGTCCTTTAATTTTTGTTTTCATTAAAAACTGTATTTAACAGTTGTTCGAGAACTTAAAAAATGCTTAAATACGGGGTTTAGTTAGAAAAGAACAATAATCATATTTTGCAAATAAAAAGTCACGATTTTTAATTATCTTACTTAAAGCAGACAGAAATTTAAAAAATAAGTAAACTTTTATTTTAAATTTAATACAATATAAAAATATGTAGCTTAGTAGAACAATTTCTGGGATGGGCCACGTCGGTTTAGATTTCTTCAAGAGACATATCGCTCTCTTGCTCGGAAGTAACTCTGAGTTTTTGAGTTTTCGAAAAGAGCAATATGTCTCTCGAAAGGTCAAGAAACCTAAACCAACAACATGACAACCAGTCTGGAAATTGTTCTACCATTAACTGCCACGGTAGCCTGCAAACCAAATAAAAGTAGCTTTTCCAATTAAAAAATAGAAACAACAAATTAGAACTGGAATTAATAACATCAACGAAGCAAGTCCTATTCAACTTGTAAACATCCAAATAATATACATTTTTCTAATCTTTTTTAAATTCCTTGTACACAGACGAGATTATTTCTTCGTTATGGTGCCAACAGCTTCCTGAATTTTTTGCTTAAGTAAATCAATGTTATCGTCAAAATCATTTGAATACACTTTTTGTTTTAGGTATCCCCAAAAGAAATAAACTAATGGGGACAAGTTGGGTGACCATGCAGGCTAAGGTATTGGTCCATAGCACCCAATCCACTTGTTCGGGAAGTGAACGTCAAGCCAGTTTCTCACTAGACGTGTGATCTGTCTTGTTGAAATATTAGTTTTCTTCTGAACTCTAAATTTTCGCTATCTAGTTCTGCCAAAACAAAATTATTGGGAATATCCAAATACGAATTTTGATTAAGATTTTCTTTCAAAAAGTAAGGACCAATTATTTTATGCTACATTATGCCACACCAGACATTTACTTTTTTAAATTTTTTACTATTAGTTATCAATCGAAAATTTAGATTATCTTTAACCCAGCATTAGTTGTGAATGTTGATTCGTCAGTAAATAAAATATTGTGATGAAAGAATCTGTTTTCAATCACTTTTTTTGTCCATTGTTAAACAAAAATCCAAAGATGACCATCATCTCCATCAAGCAATTTATGATTAAACACTCATGTGAATTCATAGATTTTGTTGTACCTATACAGAAATTTTTTGAATATAAGATCTGCTAATATCTATGTTTTCTGACCTTTTCCTGAGTGACATCTTTGGATTGTCTTGTACAGAGTCCATAACTACAACAGCAGCGGCAATGTTATTTTTGAATTCTTTTTTATCTTTTTAATATTCTTTACATCACCAGTGGTAACGAATTTTAAAATTAGCTTACGAACTGCTCTACGAGTTACAGTTACATATGAATACTTTTCATTAAAAATTTGTATTGCATATCTTCAAAGAAACATTATATATTCCATAATATTTCACAAGATCAAATATGTTGTCTTTGACATTTATAAGGATATATCCATGGTAATTATATAGTAAGTATATTAGATGGTTAAAAATTGTGGCACCTTTTTATTTACAAAATGTGATTATTGTTCTTTTCTGACTAAAACCCGTATTTAAGCATTTCTCTAGTTCTCAAACAACATTGTTAAATACAGTTTTTAAAGAAAATAAAAATTAAAGGCACTTTGCTTAGGGAAAATTTCATATTTTGAAATTTTTTGGATGCCTTGTATGTTTTATTACATATTTGATTACTGCCCACGGCTTTCCAAGATAAGCAAAACTCTCAACTCTCAACTTTTTCGTGAAAAATTAATAAAATAGTCTACAAGAGTGCAGTACCCCATCCAGACACACACACATATATGTTACATATTTCTCTATATTCAAATGTATGTTTGGTCAGTCGGTATTGTTTAATCATTTGGAAAAACTTAACGAATTAATTTTGTTGAAAATGTATTCCCTAATGGGAAAATTTTCAAGCACTCTAAATACTTGTTAGAATTGCACTTACAGCTTAGAAAGCCATTATTTAAAATTGATATTGTAGACAAATATAAGTATCAGTCGATTTCTATAAATTATATCAACTATCACTCTACAAAGTAATTAATTTTATACCATTTTTGCTATTCTTTGGGCTTCTGCGACTCTTTCCTGTAAAACCATTACCTCTTCTTCCTCAGTTTTATAAAGCGGAAGTTGTTTGTCAATTAATTGCTCTATCCTCTGATATAATTCCACATCGTACTAAAAATTAAGATATTATCTAATTACTTAGTTGTTACATTTTTAATTACTTTTATTTATTTGTGTATTTCTGTCACTTTTTTTTAAATAAATTGCCCTTTATGCCAAAAGGGACATTTAGAGGTTGATTTGATAAATTTTTGTGTTTTGTGAACCTGCGAATATAATATAAAAACATGTTATGTTGTTACAGTGCTTACACAGAGAGCCAGAATAATTATCCATGTGGCTCCATATTGATTTTTTATTCCACATATCTGTCTTTGTTACGTGCATTAAAATTATGAGCGCAGGCGAGGGAGGGAGGGAATTTTCATTTCTAACAATGACAATTTATTTAGGTTATGTTACAACAAAATCGAATAGGTGACAAATTGTATAATACATATAAAAATGGTCTCAACATGGAAATAAAAATAATATGTAAATTGTTTTATGATGGATGTATTCTAGGGGCAACAATAAAATCGTAATAAAATTGTGAATGTGACTGTGATTTGCAGAGTATGTCATTAGTTACAAACTAGTGACTGATTAGCTTCTAATACAAAAGTTTTGATATATTGTTTAAAGATGCACTATCCGATAATTAATTATTTATTTAATTTTGTAATCGCATAAAGCACGTAATAATTTCATAGCATATTCAGGGTGAATGTTTGATACATTGTATCGATCCCATATTTTTGAAAAATCTGAATGTGCAGATTCTATAGCTTGATCGCTGTAATAAGTTAATCCTCTGTTTTTTCCCAAACAAAAATCTTTAACATGGAAAAAAAATTGGATGGACTTTGGGGGTTACAACTATATCAAAGTTCATATAACTTTTCCTGAATTCATCAATATGAATTTTCATCAAGTTCCAATAATAACAGCTGTTATTCAATTTTCTGAAACAATCAACAAACTTAGCACAATTTAAACGCTTGAAATTAGCTAAAATGTCGACATTTTTAAGCAATGTTTAGCAAGCATTTCCTGCAAATGTTGGACTTCCATAAGAACACTGGTGCTGAACGTTGCATTTATTTTTACATTTAAAAATATATTTTTCTTATAGATAACATTATGTTTGAGAGCCAACCTTATCATTTTTTAATGGTTAGTAGGTTAGTAAAAAAACTGACTCAAGACCACAAATGTAATTTCTCTCATTGATTTTGAATACAAATATGAATATATCTATTGTGTTTCATATTATTTTGTGAGTGCAAATTAAAATAAAAAATTAGTAAGGAATACGAGTTTTTTTCTGGAACTCGTTAAAAATTTAGTAAATATTCGGACTCCACCTAAAATTACTTGCCGACCCCTGTTCTATACAATTGAATGATTAATTTTGCTATAAATTATGTTTGTACCATTATAATAAATCTACTTTTTATTTTGTGTATATAAAAGAATAAAACATTTAATATACATGGTGTCCTGTTCATGTTTAAAAAAAACTTGTGTGCATGTTCCTCATGGTAAAATAAAGGGGGTAGTTCATGTAACGTTTTGTTCTTAGACGCCCTGTTTTCGAGATACAGTGTTGAAGTTGTTACTTTCCAAATGGTTTTCCTTAATTATCTTTAAATCGGCTAAAGATAAAACTGTCAAAATTTGAACACAGGTAAACATCAACTGTGCGTTAAGAATAATGTGCAAACGGTTTCTTTCTGAAAAGCAGTGTCGCCGATACAGGTAATTGGAGGGGTACAATCGAAAAAAAAATATTTTAAGTCAAAATTTATTACAATTCTAAATGGTTCAAACTCTAAAGCATACTAAAAAAAGGTATACTTGTCGAAATTCGGTAGGATCTACCATTTTCGAGAAAAATGAAGTTGCATTTTTTTTGCTCACATAATGCGGCATAACAAAATATTAAATTGAAAGAGGACTTTACCATTGAATGAGCTGAAGACATTTAGCTACCAACAGTATTTGCATTTAAGACTATAATTTTAATTTCGTACGTATTACATGAAACAGTTAAAATGTAAAACATTTTATTAACTAAAAAAAAAATTGAAATTACCTATATCGGCGACACTGCTTTTCCGAAAGAAACTGTTTGCACATTATTCTTAGCAGTTGATGTTTACTCGTGTACAAATTTTGACATTTTTATCTTTAACCGATTTAAAGATAGTTAAGGAAAACTACTTGGAAAGTAACAACTTCAACATTCTGTATCTCGAAAACACGGCGTCTAAGAAAAAAACTTTATATGAACTACCCTTATTATTTTTCCATGAGGAACTTGCACACAAGTTTTTTTGAAACATGAACGGGACACCCTGTATATACTGACAAAATAGTTTTCACTTTGTTAAAATAACATTTTCTTTTTGATTTTTGAACTAAAATTTTTATAGTTACCTACCTACATGAAAAATATCAAATTTCTTATTTTGCCATCGGAAAAAAGCGCCACGCCAAATATTTTGGTTCAGGGCTTAAAATGATGTTCAAGTATAGGATAAGGGGTAGTGTACCCTCCTGAAATGTACTTTTGTAAAAAAAAAACGCTGAAATAGGTCTACTTTAGAATTTGATTTTCTTTACAATTTTTGCAGAGAAAAAGAATAATTTTTATCCTGGAGTTAGAAATACTTTACATAATATCGGCGATAGATAATAAACAAATAAAAAATTGTATAGAAACAGATTTCTTGAAAAAACTGTTTTTGGGGATAAACTTTAAGTTGATTGATGTAGACTGATTTATCATCTCGACACCTGTATAAACAATGCAAATATTACCTGTGTCACAAAAGTAATTGCCTTTCCAGATCTGCCAGCCCTTGCTGTTCTTCCCACTCTGTGTATATAATCCTTGCTATGTGTAGGAATATCAAAATTTATGACAATATCTACGTGGGGGATGTCTAAACCTCTGCAATAAATGTTAACCCTTAATATATGTCTGGTATAAACATGGATAATTAGAAATATATTTGTTGAAATTACAATGAAATCAATGTTATTTTATGTCAATATACAAGATTTCCTAAAAATAGCATCAATTAAACATATTTTTTTGTCGTTAATACATATAATTAGACCATTAAGTTGTCCGATTACTGGAAGTGTCCGACTATTGGAAGTAATCCAAAATATCAGAGTATGGCATTTAAAAACACAATTTGATTAGGCTATAGAGTTTAATAGGGTACGTACTATACTTTTAAAATTAAGTAAAATAATAATATGTATTATTTGTACGTACTGTTCTCATGTTTTAATTTTACTGTAAATGAAAAAACTTATCTATTGTGGGGTGGAGTGCAATGAACTTGCTTTTGTCCGATTACCGAGCGATCGCCTATCAAAACCATCCGACTATAGAGCTGACCATTCCCACACGAAAAGCGTTCAAAACATCCGATTACTGGAAATGTCGGACTATTGAATGTCAGATTAAAATGTTATGTTAATGTGGAAATATTTTTTATCGACCAACAAAAAAGGAAGAGAACCTAGTCCTTCCCTAACCCTAGAATATTGTCTTGTCTTTGTTTTGTGAAGGTGGCAAGGTTGACGACAGTTTTTTAATTTGT